ACTTTTCAAATGTACACTTCATTGCACTGAAAATTATCAACCAACACCCCAAATTCAAACACTTGCCATTTATTTTCTTTTTTAATAACCTTCATTTCACTGACGGAGAATGACAGAAAGAAGGAAATACGTGATCCCTTGAACAGACCAAGAATGGGAGGAGAGGGCCCCGCATACACAGCGTAGGAGGAGGGGACATGTGCATCTTGCAACACAACACAATGCACATCATAATCAGTTTTCCAAAGGACCACATAGTCCACAGTTGAGCCTGGGAAAGGAGAATTCACTTAGTGACTCTCTCATCCTGAATGGAAGTCTCCCTTCCCATCCCTAATCGCCCATCCATAGAGACTGAGAGAAAGATGCTTGGACCAGATTCCATGCTCCCTCCAGTGACGTGTCCCCACTTTTCCTCAGGACCTGAATTGATCTCCCCTACTTACTTAGAGCTGTTTACTGTTGGGTGGGCTGCCCAAAGGTTACAGAAAGTGGAGAAAGCTAGGCCCTGGGCCAACCACCTCTGCAGCCCCTGCTGGTAATATGGAAAGGGACTGGAGTTTCACTAATAAGATCTATGATAGCTCTCAAGGAAAAATTTGGAATGCTAGTGATGGTTGGGAATGCAGAGACCTTGCAAATTCTCTTCCATAGATGAGCAGAGCTCAGGGTTCTGTGACAAAGTAGGAGTTTTCTGTGATATTTTTATGATGTCTATGCATGCCTCAGTTTCCCTCTGTGCTTTGCATTGCTACCCAGTTGGTGCAAAAGGGCAGCTCAGAAGACAGGAGGTGAGCGTGTTGGGTGGAATTAATGGGTCATTAAAGAACAGGTTGAAATCGACCCATATCACTGGAGGATCTGGAGAGACAATGAGAGCTCCAAAGACTACACAATTGATACCAATAGCATAGGAAAACTCCAGCAGGCACAATATGAGAACAAAGGAGAAAGGTGCCAGGTGGCAGGGGCTGTCTTTTGGAGAGACACAGGGATCTCACCTTGGACTGACAAAGAGACAGAGGGACGAGGAGGAATGGATTCCCCAGCAGCATGGCTGGCTGATTGAGCTGGCATGGCTGGGATGGACTAACGCTTAAATTTCGCCTCTCTCTGCTAACCTAAGGACTTTCCAATCCTGTGTTCCAGATGACTGATAACCCCTATCCTGTTTGGAAGAGGCTGCCTGGCATCACTGCGAATACTTGCTGAGGTGGATCAGTCCCTGAAGAGTGTAAAAAACTTTAGCTCAGTTGGACTCACTGTGGAGAGAGCATTGTGTGAAGCAGGAGTGTTGGAGCCCAGTGGCTCAGTCTCGGATGCATTAGGCCACGTGACCTACCCTTAAGATTCTGCCACACAGAAGGGGCTGCTTTATCTTCTAGGTCCGTGACAGCTTCCGATAGCAACCTCTGTCTATGTGCAGCCAGGGCCGGCTCCAGCATTTCTGCCGCCCCAAGCAAAAAAAAAAAAAAAGCCGCAATCGGCGGCGGCAGTTCAGCGGCAGGTCCTTCGCTCCTAGAGGGAGTGAGGGACCTGCCACCCCCGAATTGCCGCAGGTGCCGCCCCTCTCCCTTGGCCGCCCCAAGCACCTGCTTGTTAAGCTGGTGCCTGGAGCCGGCCCTGTGTGCAGCACAGAGATAATGGCCTGAGTGTGTGAAAGTGTAAGTCAGCTTACTGCCCAGAGATTGTTTAAAGCTGGTTCCCAAACTTTTTACTAAGGCGACACACCAACTGCATTCTCTTTTCATGTGACCCACCGTTACATATATACATCCTTCGCTCCAGCACCATAACCCTAATCCTGGACTGGGGTTGAGGGGAAGACCCAGGGGTGTTGGAGAGCAAACCCCTCCCTCATTCACTCTACAGTAGTGGCTCCTGTCCCATGGGGCTGAGTCCTGGCTCCCACTACGAGTGTTGCAACCTTGCGCACAAGTGCCACTTAGGTTTGGCCAAAGATGGACGGGCGGCCAAGCCAAATTTGAGCTTGTGGTGTTGCAACCCGGTGCATGGGATTACAATGCCCAGAATGGGGAGCCAGGCGCAGCCCTGTGGGACAGGAGTTGGTGCTGTGGGGTGAGTGCAAGGATGGCTTGCTCTTCAATCCTCCCCCAATTCCTGGGGCCTTCCTTCTGTATCATGCAGGGAGGAGTGTATGTTTACCAGGGCCCAGTGATGAATTAATCTGGTCTTGGATGTGGCGACCCATCTAGAACCTTCCTACGGCCCACTGGTGGATTGGGACCCACTGTTTGGGAAACAACTGGCTTAAAGAACACCTGACATCACATGGAATTCTCAGCATCTCTGACATGGAGAAATGGATAGAATCACTAACATTAAGAGGTAGAATACTACAGAGTGTCTAATATTTTAGCTAAAGTGAGTGGCATTAGATATTTTGGATTAGAAATGCACTTGGAGAAGTGAAAAAAGCAGTTTTAAATCACTAAGTCTGATACTTGGGGGTGGTGATAGACAGTAAACGTGTCTGTATATAGGGGGAAAGAAGACCTGGGGATAGCCTATGGATTTGTCTACATGGGAAAAGTGTACCAGTTATATCAGTATAATTATAATAGCAGTTATACTGATAGCTCCCTGTGTGGACACTCTATTTTCAGAATCAAAGTGAGGTTTTTTTGCTTTATCTTAAACACCTTCCAAAGTGACAAACTACATCAAAAAGGGGCACTCTTATTCTGGAATAAGAATGGCCACAATTGGGGGGCCAGGGCGGATTATAGTGGTATAACTAGATAGGTTTAAATTCACACCTCATTTTATTCTGGTGTTTGTCTAGTTGGGAAAGTTAAATACCCCAATCCCATTGCAATTTGGGATTGCAAATTTGGATTTATGATCCTAATGCCCCTTGGTTCTTTAGACAGTCCAACTCAAACTGACTTTGAAGTAAGGAATTATTGATATTGTTTCCATTTCTAATACTAGAATGTGTGGCTGAACCATCACATGCAGGCTTGATTGGCAGTTTCATAAGGACCTGAAATAAAGGATCCATAGTTATTAAAACTGGTAATGAAATCAGCTTTCCCAGAAAAAAATAATCTAGAACAGGCTGATTATTGTATTGAATTAATTGGATTGATTATTACTTTCAATAAACTCTGAATATTGTCTGTTAAAATCTTACATTTTGTTTTTCCCCCCCAGAACTATCTTATTTTATTTTCTGTATTTTCTAACTTATCCTTAACAGTTCTCTACTTAAGAAAATGGGTACATTCAGGAGAAGCAATGGGCTTGTTCGGGTTTGAAATGAACTGAACTCTGGAGACAGAGATGGGATGATGGTTTATTTGTGGTTTTCTTCCTTTATGAATCCAAAAGTTAACTTCCGCGTTAGGGGTATATATATACATTGTTATTAATTTATCTGGAATCTAAAAAACCTGGATTTGGTATGAAACTAAATAACAAAAGATTCAATCATAGAGTTAATTTCTGCTTGCACGAGTTAGTTGTAATGACAAGTAGGAAAAAGCAGAACTACCCCATAAATGAAGACCCTGGATTTTAAAACTCAGTTCACTTGATCTAAATTGGACTATATAGGAATCATTGAAGTTAGAGATGGAAAAACTCTATTCAAGCCCATCCTGTCTGTCTGCCTTAGAAAAGTAGGCTTGTTCCATGTTGTCAGTTCCATGGGTTGGCTGCAGTCTTCAGGTTATGGATTCAGCATCAGAGTCCACCCCGATCCCATCCCTTGCAGCAGAAAATTGTGGTCCAGAATCCAAACTACATAAAAAAATAAATAAAGGAAGTGTCCAGCCCTTCTGGCTGCAAAGAGAACATTTAAATGGTGCTTAACCATGTCTGTGGATATTGTGCATGGGGAAATAATGAAATGTCAGTGGGGCAACTGGTTCCTGTTGGTGTTGCTGGGTTAGGGAACTAGGACTTCAAACAGCTGTCATCTCCCTCTCCTCTGCAAGGAGGAGACTCCCCACGAGTTCCAAAATCATCCACTGACTGTCCACACTAAAACCCAAATCACTTCCCAATCTTTCCCCTGGGGAGGCTGTCCCCCAGCGCCACAGATCTTATTGACAGAACATTTCCCCTACCCTCATTAGATTAAAATCTGCTAGGCGCCAATGTGATGGTGGTGGTGGGGAACCCTCAAGAATGAAGTGTCCAGGGAGGTGGGGCAGTGTTATAGCTTCAATTTTCTATAAGGCAAAAATCCTTTGATCTCAGGGTTTGGTCTTTAGGGTTGCCAAGCTGAAGCCTCTCTTCATTTTGCTGCCCCATAGAAATTCCACCTGGAAGTTGGTCTCACTTCAGGATTCGGAGGTGCTTGCACCTGTTTGTGTCTCGGTCTGGACAAGGTTTCAAGAGGGGTGGTTTCTATTTTATGGGGAGCTGAATACAGCAGAACCTCAGAGTTAGGAACCCCTCAGGAAGGGAGTTTGTTGGTAACTCTGAGATGTTCCTAACTTTGAACAAAACGTTATAGCTGTTCTTTCCAAAGTTTACAACTGAACATTGCCTTAATGCAGTTTTGAAACTTTACTATGCAGAAGAAAAATGCTGCTTTCCCTTTTTTTTTAATAGTTTACGTTTAACACAGTACTGTCCTGTATTTGTTTGTTTGTCTCTGTTGCTGCTTGATTGCCTACTTCCAGTTCCAAATGAGGTGTGTGGTTACCGGTCAGTTCCTAACTCTGGTGTTGGTAACTGTGAGGTTCTACTGTAGAGTAGGGGAAAGGAGGGGCTAGCTCCTGCCACCAGAGGGCTCTGATTATTGCTAAGGGAGGACGGGATGCTGCTCGCTTGCTCTCTCTCTGCTGAGCATGTAAATGGCTGAGCTTCCTGGGTCATTCGCTGTGCACCGGCAGCACTGCTGTTGCCGCCTGGCTTTTGATCTGTTGCTCCTCCAGCGGTGTCTGTGCGGGGAGAGACCTGCATTAATCCCCCTCTGTGCCCAGCCCGGGGGGACTTTCTGCGGGTGGCTGGAACCAGCCCCGGGCTCTGCCGACAGCAGCCCCGGAGCTGGAGCTTGCAGGTGAGGGGAGAGACTCGGGGGAAAGGGCTGGGGCCGGGCAGGAAAGTGACTCTGCACCAAGGGAGGCTCAGATCTCTTGTGGCTGCATCTGCAGGGCAGATCTGAGCTAACAGTAATGAAGCCCCTGCTTTGGTTGGCCATCAGCTGCTGCCAGAGCTTTGCTCCGGGAGCTAAACGCAGAGGATTGGGGGGCGGGGGGAGGAGAAGTTTCAGCGTGACCATGAAACGGTGGCTGGGGGGCGGGTTCCCCCTTTTGTCTCTCTGGGGCAGGGTTCGTGTAGGGTGGAAAACTGCTCTCTGACTTAATTTGCTACTTAGGGTACACCGAGGGTGCTCAGTAACATCTGCCTTCACCCTGCCCTTACTTGGCCTCAGATTCTGTGGACTAGTTTTTACAGGGGTTAAAAAGGGGCAAAGGGGGTGAATTGGAGGTGGCCAGGGTCTGAGCAGGGGGTGGAAATTGACTGACTGGTCAGGAGGGTGAAGCCGCTGAAGGCAGGGTTAGGATAGGGGCTGAAGGGCAAAATCAGGGATGGGGGGGGGGGGGGAAGGAGATGGTGTTAAACTCAGGGGTGAGGCGCTGCCAGAGGGTAACAGAGGGCAAAACCCAGGCACAGGCAGGGGCAGAGGGGGTAACAGTTACCCCGGTGGACTGAGACACCAGTGTTTGGCAAAAAATAGGGTGCGGGGGCCGAGGGGATTTTTTATTTCCCCTCCCACAGGACAGTACCTCTCCTCATGGGCTTCCCAGGGCTGGATTTGTAAAGGTGCAGGCATCCGAATGCCTAGTCATTGCAGCTCCTCTTTGTCTGATGTAACCTACTGAGGTGCTTCAGGAGACTTGATTCAGTGAAATATTTTATGTACACCCCCTTATAATCAAAGAATCCCTTATCAGTGTATCTGACTGCATAGAGTCTCTCAGCAGTTCACCAATTTGTGTTATCTGCTGCTGGGATGCATTTTATTGTGCTATTTAAATTATATTTTAATAACAAATACTTATTGAAAATATGCATAAGTTAGTACTTGCTAGTAGTTTTAGCAATGACATCAGGGTTTCTAGTATTGCACTTGCTATGTTTTTTTTTACTGTGATTTCTAATTTGGAATTTTTAATTCTAACTTTTTCTTCTGTACTAGAAGATGGGAAAGGTGAGAGGTAGCAAATAAGAACAACCTTATGTATCAGTAACTGCTACTGGTAGCAAATTAAGACAGATAGCAATTTTTAATACTACACAGGCTCTAGACCAAATGGCACCCCAGGCGAGGAGCATCTTCAGCGCTCCCTTCTCCATTTGTTAAACTTGAATACCTTATTTTTTACTGCATTTGTAGCCCATTTCATGACTTTGATGCACGGTTTGCATGCAAGTTTTATCCCTGTTTTATAAGACGATAAAGTTGCATGCTAGGATCTGTAAATCTGCGAGCCCAGCGCCCCCCAAGCCTGGCACCAGGTCGTCGCCTGGGTCGCCTGCCCCTAAATCCAGCCCTGCGCAGAGGTGGATAATAAAAGAAATGAAGGGAAGGGAAAGAGAGCATGAAATGTGGTAGATCTAACCATCTCTGTACAGTTAGGGAAATACAGGGAAGAGAAGTGTGTGTGTGTATGTTGTTTCTTCGTTTAAAAATCTACCCTCGTTACTGCTCTCCCTTCCCCTGGAGATAATCCACAGAGATGATTTTATGTCCCCAAGGCAAGGACATGTTTGTTACATCAGACATGGTGGGTTTAAAAGGACTTAGGGCAGGTCTACACTACTGCGTAAATTGATCTCACTTAACGTCGCTCCGGGGTGTGAAAAAGACACCCCCTTGCCGACGCAAGTTACAGCAACCTAACTGCTGTCCACACCGGCGCTATATCGGCAGATTACTCATGGAGGTGGAGTAATTATCTCCATGGGAGAGCCTTTATAAAGCAGGCCAATGTTTTGGCCATTTATGGATTGTCCTTTCCTTCTAATGTATTAATGGGCTTGTATTCCCTCCAGGACACTTCCCCACCCGCCATGGTAGCTTTGTAAAATCTCTCCTCTTAGCCCCCTTGGCTGTGTAGATGGACGAGTCCCTCCTGCTCCTCAGCAGACCCCACAATGTCTGACTTTGAATTCAAACTCATCCCCCTTCTGGGTGGGCTGGGAAACCATGTTGGTGGTGAATGGTGTGGCAGGATTTGTCGTCAGCAGAGATGTGGATAGTTAAATTCTCCCATTAGCAGAGTGGCCTGCAGCTCTGATTCCATGGAGAGCTGGTCCAGAGATTTGCATGTGTTAAAATGGGCTGAGTTAATAATCATGGAACACTTCTCATAATGAATACTCCACAAATACCAGTGTCACCTGTTTTCTTTCCCCAGTGTGTCCAATTCCCAAACCTAACGTGATCTCTCAGATGGAACGAAGGGAAGAGTTGGAGGTGCCGGATCTCCAGGGTTCTGAAGAGAGGGAGATCCTGAAACACAGCTGCACAGGTGTGGAACCAGATAAACTGAGTCAGAAAAGATTGGTGGGTAAAGTAAAATGCTGGGATTCCCATAAAGCCCCAGTTCTGCCTCATCCCATCCTGGTCAGGATCCTTATGGCAGTTGTCACTCATGGCTTCCTAGCACACCTGGTGGTAACTCCCACTCCCCTGAGTGTGTGGATGGGATGTGGAGCTAGAATTGATCCCCAGTTCTCTGTCCTATTGGGAAGGTTTGCGGAGTGATTGGAAGGAGGAGGAATTGGCTCATGATTTATTTTTATCTGCTCTGTAGTTATTTGGGTTTGTTACCCCCTTTGCCTTTCCCCTTTCTGCATTCCCTTTCCCCACAGGGAATGACTCCTTTCTGGATTCTCTCTGTCCCAGCAGGAGATCAGACACTGAGCGAGAAGGAAAATTCATAGAAATGCAGGGCTGGAAGGGACCTCGAGAAATCCTCTAGTCCAGCCCCTCACGTTGAGGCAGGACAAGTACACTTGCACCGTCTCTGAAAGGTGTTTGTTTAACCTGTTCTTAAAAAACCTCCAGTGAGGGGGATTCCGCTACCTCCCTTGGAAGCCTGTTCCTTATCATTAAAACCTTTCACCTAAAATCTAGCCTTAATCTCCCGTGCTGCAGATTAAGCCAATGACTTGTCCTGCCTTCATTAGACATGGAGAACAGTCAATCACTGTCCTCTTTATAACGGTCCTTAATGTATTTAAAGACTGTTAACAGGCTCCATCTCCCCAAGTCTTTCTCTTTCTCTTCAACCTTTCCTCGCAGGGCAGGTTTTTTAAAACCTTTGGTCATTTTTGTCTCTCTCCTCTGGACTCTCCAATTTGCCCATGTCTGCCTGGATACGTAAATTAAGTTGTCAAGGGATAAAAGGGAAGGTCCTTTCATGGATTGAGAACTAGTTTAAAAGACCGGGAACAAAGGGTAGGAATTAATGGTAAATTCTCAGAATGGAGAGGGGTAACTAGTGGTGTTCCCCAAGGGTCAGTCCTCGGACCAATCCTATTCAACTTATTTATAAATGATCTGGAGAAAGGGGTAAACAGTGAGGTGGCAAAGTTTGCAGATGATACTAAACTGCTCAAGATAGTTAAGACCAAAGCAGACTGTGAAGAGCAACAAAAGGATCTCTTGAAACTGGGTGACTGGGCAACAAAATGGCAAATGAAATTTAATGTGAATAAATGTAAAGTAATGCACATTGGAAAAAATAACCCCAACTATACATACAATATGATGGGGGCTAATTTAGCTACAAGAAGTCAGGAAAAAGATCTTGGAGTCATCGTGGATAGTTCTCTGAAGATGTCCGCGCAGTGTGCAGAGGCGGTCAAAAAAGCAAACAGGATGTTAGGGATCATTAAAAAGGGGATAGAGAATAAGACTGAGAATATATTATTGCCCTTATATAAATCGATGGTATGCCCACATCTTGAATACTGCGTACAGATGTGGTCTCCTCATCTCAAAAAAGATATACTGGCACTAGAAAAGGTTCAGAGAAGGGCAACTAAAATGATTAGGGGTTTGGAACAGGTCCCATATGAGGAGAGATTAAAGAGGCTAGGACTCTTCAGCTTGGAAAAGAGGAGACTAAGAGGGGATATGATAGAGGTATATAAAGTCATGAGTGATGTGGAGAAAGTGGATAAGGAAAAGTTATTTACTTATTCCCATAATACAAGAACTAGGGGTCATCAAATGAAATTAATAGGCAGCAGGTTTAAAACAAATACAAGGAAGTTCTTCTTCACGCAGTGCACAGTCAACTTGTGGAACTCCTTACCTGAGGAGGTTGTGAAGGCTAGGACTATAACAACGTTTAAAAGAGAACTGGATAAATTCATGGTGGTTAAGTCCATTAATGGCTATTAGCCAGGATGGGTAAGGAATGGTGTCCCTAGCCTCTGTTTGTCAGAGGATGGAGATGGATGGCAGGAGAGAGATCACTTGATCATTGCCTGTTGGTCCACTCCCTCTGGGACACCTGGCATTAGCCACTGTCGGTAGACAGGATACTGGGCTAGATGGACCTTTGGTCTGACCCGGTACGGCTGTTCTTATGATACCCCAAAGGAGTTAGGCACCTAAATTCTTATATCACGCTCCACTGCGGTGCAGCAAACTCCCGCTGACTCACTCAGTGCCTGTGTTTGGCAGACAAAGTTCCTTAGGCACCTACGTTTCTTCCTCTGGGCATGCACGCTGCTGCCTCCCTCTAAGAATCCGGATGCTTATTACCTGCCTAAGCCCCAAAGTGACTTACAAACCAGGGGAAGACAGGCATTTAGCTGCCTCAGTTGCGTGCAGGTCTTGAGCCAGTGGTCGTGCTCAGAGGCCGTCTACCGGATCAGGCCCCTCAGGCAAGTTTACACAAAACAGTCAGTGGCGGGGGAGAGGAGAACCTCCCTCAAAACCTTAGCCCAGTGTACTTAGCCTTAGGGTACTCACTTGGGATGTAGGAGAGCCCCAGTTCAAGGCCCCTTCCATCTGAAGGGGAGAAGGGATTTACAAGGAGATCTCCGGTGAGTGCTCTAGCCACTGAGCTATGGGATATTCCATTATTCCTGTGGAAACTGTTGCACTGTGGATAAATAATTAAAAAGTCACTGGAGCAGGGGGACTGGACCCTGGGCTAAAAGTTATGAGGAGCTCCTCCCACCCCTCCACCTGCCTCTTGCAAAAATGGCATAGGAACCCAACTGCAAAGACAGTTCCCGGCACCGCTCTGCAACCTGGACTTAGGCGCCTATCTCTGTGAGAGGGGTGAGGCTTAGCACTTTGGGTAGCTTAGCTGGCTCCCTCCCTACCATTCTGGGTTTTGTCAACTGCAGTCTAAAGGCACCCGTCTCTCCCCATGCATTGCTTCGGAGCTTAGACACGTAAGTAAGGCATTATGATGTAAAGTGAGGCACCTAATAAAGTCTATGAGTCTAATAACTGGACATAATACTCCAACTGAGGCCTTACCAGTGCTCAATTACTTGATGTGTCTGTCTTAGGACACTCCTGTTAATATACCCCAAAATGATTTTAGCCTTTTTTGCAACTGCATCACATTGCTGGGTCGTATTTAATTTGTGATCCCCTATAACACCCAGATTCTCTTCAGCAGTACTGCTGCCTAGTCAGTTATTCCCCATTTTCATATAATAGAATCATAGAATATCAGGGTTGGAAGGGACCTCAGGAGGTCATCTAGTCCAACTCCCTGCTCAAAGCAGGACCAATTCCCAACTAAATTATCCCAGCCAGGGCTTTGTCAAGCCTGACCTTAAAAACCCCTAAGGAAGGAGATTCCACCAACTCCCTAGGTAACCCATTCCAGTATTTCACCACCCTCCTAGTGAAAAAGTTTGTCCTAATATCCAACCTAAACCTCCCCCACTGCAACTTGAGACCACTACTCCTTGTTCTGTCATCTGCTACCACTGAGAACAGTCTAGATCCGTCCTCTTTGAAACCCCCTTTCAGGTAGTTGAAAGCAGCTATCAAATCTCCCCTTATTCTTCTCTTCTGCAGACTAAACAATCCCAGTTTTGTATCTGTGCATTTGATTAATTCCCCCCCCCCCTTGTCTTTATTGAATTTCATCTAGCTGATTTCAGACCAATTCATTAAGGTCATTTTGAATTCTAATCCTGTCCTGCAAAGTGCATGGTCCACCCCCACCCAGCTTGGTGTCATCCCTAAATCTTATAAGCACACTCTCCATTCCATTATCCAAGTCATTAATGAAAACATTGAATAGTACTGGACCCAGGACAGATCCATGCAGGATTCCACTAGATACATCCCCCAGTTTGACAGCGAGCCATTGATAACTACTCTTTGAATATGATCTTTCAATCAATTATGCACCCACCTTATAGTAATTTCATCTAGACCACATTTCCCTAGTTTGCTTATGAAAATATCATGTGGAACTGTGTCAAAAGCCTTACTAAAATCAAGATGTATCACGTCTACTGCTTCCCTCTAGTCACAAGACCAGTAACCCTGTCCAAAAAAGAAATTAGGTTGTTTTGGCATGATTTGTTCTTGACAAATCTGTGTTGGCTACTACTTATTGCCCTATTATCTTCCAGGTGCTCCTCCGGAAGATCCTGAGCAAGTGGACCCAAACGGGATGTTTTTAGAAAGAGCCAAAAGAAATGTTTCCCAGAATCCTGAGCAGAGTCAGCACATATCAGAGAGTGAGCAGGGAAACCACAAAGGGGGGAGAGAGGAAAAATCCAGTGACCACCAGGGAGGTTTCAATGTTCTTAATGAAACCACGATCCAGCTGAGAGTCCACATGGGGGAAAGATCCTACGAGTGTGCTGAATGTGGGAAAGCCTTTAGTTGGAGATCACACCTTACTGCCCATGAGAGAATCCATACAGGAGAGAAACCCTATAAATGTCTGGACTGTGGGAAAAGTTTTAGTCAGAGATCCCACCTTACTACACATGAGAGAATCCACACTGGTGAGAAGCCCTATAAATGCCCCGACTGCAAGAAAAACTTCCGTCGCAACTCACAGCTTATTAATCATCTGAAATCCCACATGGGACAGAAGCCATATAAGTGTCCCGACTCTGGGAAAAGCCTCCGGCGCGTTTCACGCCTTACTGCGCACAGCGGAGAGATGGCTTATCAATGTCCGGACTGCAAGAAAAGCTACAGTCAGATGTCACGCCTTGTTAGACATCAAAGGTTCCACACAGGAGAGAAACCTTATAAGTGTCTGGACTGCGGGAAGAGCTTCTGTCAGAGCTCAGACCTTATTACGCACCAGAGAACCCACACGGGGGAGAAGTCCTACACATGCTCTGAATGTGGGAAAAGCCTCAATAGAATCTCACACCTTGTTGCACATCATCGATCCCACGCTGGAGAGGCGCCTTACCAGTGCCCCGACTGTGAGAAAAGCTTCAGTCAGATGTCGCACCTCATTAGACATCAGAGGTTCCACAAGGGAGAGAAACCCTACAAGTGCCTCAACTGTGGGAAAAGCTTCTGTCAGAGCTCAGACCTTATTACGCATCAGAGAATCCACACGGGAGAGAAGCCCTATAAATGCTCTGAGTGCGGGAAAGGATTCAGTCGGAGCTCAAACCTTATTGCCCACCAGAGAACCCACACGGGAGAGAAACTCTATCAGTGCTCCCACTGTGGAAAGAGCATGACCCGGAGTTCAAACCTCGTTCGACATCAGAGAACTCACACCAGGGGAAAACTGTTTAAAAAAAGCCTGGATCCAACCTAGCCATTGTGAATAATACACTGGCCTTTTCCCGTTAATGATGGCGGTGTTTGGACCCAGTTACTCAAAGGAGGCTCCTAATTTCTGTTGAAATCAATAGAAGTCAGGAGCATAAATAGCTTTTGAGAATCTGGGCTTTGGCTCCAATGTACGTCTGGGGTCAGGAGATTGGGAACCAGAATGGAGGGCACAGTTGCTTGGGAGTTGTGACACAGATGATGAACATAGGCATATCTTCAAAGACCATTATACTGAGATAGACCATGCACATGAATCTGCGGAATGTTCATAGTCCTTTGTATCGATGCAGGCATATGTTTTCATGTGTTCTTCAAATCTGTAGGGAGTGATTAATGCAAAACTCCCAAACCTGGCTATGTAGATGTCCAATCTTTGACGTCTGACCTCCTAGGCCATAGGGGAAGTTATTAAAATTGGTAACTAACTCAGCTTCCCTGAACAGAAGATTCCCTCACAGTGATCAGGTTGATTATTGTATTGAATTAACTGGATTTGTCTATTACTTTCAGCAAACTGAATATTCTCTGTTAAGTTCTTACATTTACCTTTTTTATCTTACTTTTCCTTTTCTCTAGAACCATCTTTCTTTTGTTTTCTGCAATTTCTGACTTATTCTTAATAGCATTCTAGTTAAGAAAACCGATACATTCAGGAGCACCAATGGACTGGTTTGGGTTTGCAATGTCCTGAACTGGATCCTGGAGACAGAATTGGGATGATGTGGTTTTTTCTTACTTTAAATGCAGAGGAATAAAGTGCAACTGAGTTTCCCAAAGTCTGAGTCTTACAACACAAATGGGGTGAGATTGGGGCCTGTGGGAAAGTCTGTCGGTAACACTGTCCTAGTGCTGCAAATCTGCGGATATCCGCATCTGTGGATATCAATGGACCATATTGATGGATGCGATCCAAATTTTATATCTAGAGCCCTAAAAATCTGCAGATATCCGCTTGATATCCACTTGCTATCTGCAGATATTTGCTTGATATCCACTTGCTATCTGCGGACCACAGATCGGCTGCGGATACAAATTTTGTATCCACCCAGGGCTCTAGTGAATGTAATTACATCAGAGGTCTGCTTTTTGATATAGTCATCCTTACAGAACCATCAATACATTACTATTGCCGTTTTAGTGTAATTCTTAATGCATTACACTATAATAACTCTGACATATACATATACTGGGGTGGCCAAACTTACTGACCCTCTGAGCTGCATACAACAATCTTCAGTAGTTCGAGAGATGCAGCGCACCTGCTGAAGCTCCGAGCCCTGGCCGGCGCGCCCTGCGAGGCTGAAGCCCCTAGCCCCACCCGCTGGCTGGAGGGCAGAAGCCCCTTACCCCACACCCTCTCCCCCCCACAGGGCAGAAGCCCTAAGCTCTGCCCCCCTCCAGTCTGGTAGGCAGAGAATGGGAGGAGGGCTCCATGAGCTGCACTTTAACTGTAGAAGAGCTGCATGTGGCTCACGAGCTATGGTTTGGCTACCCCTGACATTTACCCATTAAAAAAATCCTATGACTAAGATAGCTCCATGGCTGAATTCCTTGTACCTGCCCTAGTTAGAATCTGAGTTATCACATGCACTGTATTTCTCCTGTCACTAATTGCTTTAGTTTCAGATTTATTTATTCATTTATTCTTCTAGGAGCAGGTATCAAAGAGTTAATCCCAGGATAAGGCATGTGTAAATATATTATTAATTTAGGTGGAGTCTGAAATACCTGGGTTCAGTATAAAACTACATAACAAGATGACAGGTTTCAGAGTAGCAGCCGTGTTAGTCTGTATCCGCAAAAAGAACAGAAGTACTTGTGGCACCTTAGAGACTAACAAATTTATTAGAGCATAAGCTTTCGTGGGCTACAACCCACTTCTTCGGATGCATCCGAAGAAGTGGGTTGTAGC